GAAATAGCCTTGGCAGTAAGGGTAAGGATAGTCCAAAGAGATTGTACAAGTACGTTAAGAGCAAAAGAGCAACTAGGGAGAAAACAGGGCCCCTTAAAGATGAACAAGGTCATCTACGTGTGAAAATCACAAGAGATGGGAGAGATAATGCAATATTTTGTGTCAGATCTCACTGTGGAAAAAGCCATGGAGGCTAGGGAACTTGGGGGAACAAATATTGACGTATTGAAAACAGTTCACATTGCAGAAGAAGATGTGCTGGAGGTCTTAAAAAATATAAAGGTGGATAAATCTTTAGGACCTGATCAATTGTATCCCAGGACATTATGGGGAGTTAGGGAAGAAGTTGCAGGGCCCCTACCAGAGATACTTGTATCGTCTATCGCATCGGGTGAGATGCTGGAGGATGGCTAATGTTGTGCCTTATTTAGGAAAGGCTGTAAGGAGAATCCTGGGAACTATAGACCAGTGAGTCTGATGTCAGTGGTGGGTAGATTGATGGAGGGAATTTTGAGAGATAGGATTTACATACATTTGCTGAGGCAGGGACTGATTGGGGAAAGTCAGCATGGCTTTGTGCATTGGAAATAGTTTTTTACAAATTTGATTAAGTTTTTCGAGGACGTAACCAAAAGGATTGATGAAGGCAGAGTGGTAGACATTGTCTTCATGGACTTAAGTAAAGCTTTTGACAAGGTTCTGCATGGTAGACTGATTAGTAAAGTTATATTACATGGAATTCAGGGAGAGCTTGTCAGTTAGATACAAAATTGGCTTGATGGTAGGCGACAGAGGGTAGTGGTGGAGGGTTGCTTTTTGGACTGGAGGCCTATGACCAACAGTGCCCTGCAGGGATCAGTGCTGGGTACACTGTTGTTTGTTATGTATGTAAATGATTTTGGATGAGAATATAGGAGGTATCGTTAGTAAATTTGTTGATTACGCCAAAATTGGTGGTATAGTCGACAACGAAGGCGGCTATCTAAGATTACAAAGGGATCCTGATCGAGTGGCAGATGAAGTTTAATTTGGATAAATGTGAGGTATTGCACTTTGGTAAAATGAACAAGAACAAGACTTATACAGTTAGGACCCTGGGTAGTGTTGTTGAACATAGAGACCGAGGGAATCAGGTACATAGTTCTTTGAAAGTTGTATCAGAAGTAGACAGGGTGGTTAAGAACGTATTTGGCACACTTGTCTTCATTGCTCAGACCATTGAGTATAGCAGTTAGGAGTTCATGTTGAGGTGTACAGGATGGTGAGGCCACTTTTGCGGTACTGTGTATAGTCCTTGTCACCCTGCTATAGGAAATATAATATTAAATTAGAGAGTGTTCAGAAAAGATTTACCAGGAAGTTCCTGGGTCTGGAGGGGTTTCAGTTATATGGAGAGGCTGGATAGGCTGGGTCTAAATTGACTGGAGTGTAGGAGGTTGAGGGGTGACCTTATAGAGGCTTATAAAATCGTGAGGGGCATTGATAAGGTAAATAGTAAAGGTCTTATCCCTAAGGTGGGAAGTTCAAAACTACAGGGCATATTTTTAAGGTGAGAGCAGAAAGAATTACCTGAGGGCTAACTTCTTCACACAGAGGATGGTTCGTATGTGGAATGAACTGCCAGAGGAAGTGGTAGGTGCAGGTACAGTTACAACATTTGGAAGACATTTGGATTGGTACATGAAAAGGAAAGGTTTGGAGGGATATGGGCCAAATGCAGGCAAGTGGTACTAGTTTAGTTTTGGAAGCTCAGTTGGCATGGATGAGTTGGACTAAAAGGTCTGCTTCTGTCGTGTATGACTTTATAAAGAATTCTCTAAGGTTGTGGGCAAGTCAGGAAACTACAGGCCAGTGAACATCAGTGGTAGGCGAGTTATTGGAGAGGATGCTGAGGGACAGGATCAACCATCATTTGGATAGTCAAGGTCTGATTATTTGATTTTATTGATTTTGATTTTATTGTTACGTGCAGTGAAACACAGTGAAAAGCTTTGTTTATGAGCAGTATAGGTAGTTCACAGCAAGCAAAGGATGTACAGATCAAAAAGATTTAGAGGCATACAGGTTACATTGCAGGTTACATTTGAGGCTAGAGTCCGTTCAACAGTCTGATAACAGCCAGAAAGAAGCTGTTCCTGAACCATCTTGTGCATGTTTTCAGGTTTCTGTATCTTCTGCCTGACGGAAGAGATTGTAAGCTGTCATTACCAGGGTGCGATGAGTCTTTGATGGATGGAAGGCTGGCTTCCGTGATGGTCTGGGCTGTGCACATAATTTTCTGTAGTTTCCTACAGTCCTGGGCAGGGCAGTTGCCATACCAGGCTGTTATGCACTCGGGCAGTATGTTTTCACTGGTGGTTCTGTAGAAGTTGGTGAGGGACCTTATGGGCATGCCAAATTTCCTGAGCTGCCTGATGAATAAGAGGCGTTGTTGTACATTGATAGGATGAATGCATATAGCCTTTTTTCCAGGGATAGGAAATTGAAAACTAGAGGACACAGGTGAGGGAGGAAAGATTTAAGAAGGACCTGAGGGGCAACTTCTTCATGCAAAAGGGTGGTGCGTATATGGAATGGGTTGTTAGAGAAAGTGGTTGAGGCAGGTATTGGTAGTAACATTTAAAAATATTTGGATAGGTACATGGATGGGAAGGGTTTAGAGGGATATGGACCAAATGTGAGCAAATGGAACTAGCTGAGTGGGCACCATGGTCAACATGGACCAGTTTGGGCCGAACAGCCTGTTTCCATGCTGTATTACTCTATAACTCTATGACTCCAAACGCAGAAAGTGTAATGCCTGCCTGTTTATTTCTTCCCTCCTTACCATCCAAAGCCCAAACACACCTTCCAAGAGAAGTAGAGCTTTATATTCCTCTCTATTGGAGAAACAAAGCACAGACTAGGTGATCACCTCGCGGAGCACCTATATTCTGTCTGCAAAAGAAAAGACCCTGAGCTTCCAGTTGCCTGTCACTTCAACACACCAACATGTTCACTGGTCAACATCTGTGTCTCAGACTTGCTGCTGTAGGGAGTCCTGGTCCGTGCAATCAGTAACCCTGCTGGAACTCTCAGGCAGACTGGATCACCCACCAGGTCCCTGGTTCTGACACTGGACTTGATTTAGGAATGTGAAGTGAAGAAGGCAGTAGACAGGTGTTTCAGGGCAAAGAATCTCTGTGTTTATTAAATGCAAAGGTGAGTATATCACACGAAATAAAAAAGGCAAAAGTATAATAAACAGGGAAATAACACAAAGGTCAATAAGATACAAGAGATAAAAAGGCAAATTCAAAACTGTGAAATTATCAGTTATTAACTTAACACAGGCTAACTACTATTAAAAACTAAATAGTAGTTTCAAACATGAACACTTCAATCAGACTTCCTGACTTTGGGGTGCTCTGCACTGTCACCAACCCACCTCTCCTCCCTGCTAGCTAGGTTGGATACTTTGGGTCTTGAGGAAATAGGCTCACCACAGGAGATAAACACGATTTTGAAATACAGCTGGCCGTTCCCATTTGCTGTAGCCAGTACTTCAGTGAATACTTTGATTGGCGTAGGCCTTCAGTCTGGTTTGAGAACTTGGGTTTTCTTACTTTGTGGTGGTTTTATGAGCTGGTTTTCACCTCCGGATGTGTCCTAGGCCTTGTCAGTCATGTCGGTGGTTTTCGGTGGTCGTCAGTCCATCAGATCTGCTGGTCGTGGTCAGTTGCCGTTGGTTCCCCGGTACAGAATAGCCCTGTGTTGGTTGGTTTCAGGGAGATAGAACCTGTCTGGGATCCCTCTTCTGTTGGTAGCTGCGGGGATGGTTCTCTCTGTCTCTTCCTCACAGATCAGGGCCAGCAGTTACACAGATTGTGTGCTCCGTTATCACCTCTCAAATCTGTGTTATCCATTGTGTTTCTGTTGTCCCCTTTGTAGTGAATTGGCTTCCTGATGGTTTAGAGTAGGTGAAAATGTATTTTGATTCAGCGGAATGTCCAGTATTTCTGTGAGTGAATATTAATTGAAGTTGAATGCCTTGGTACCTCTGAAGAGTCCAAGATGTCTGAAGTTGTTGTCTTAGGTCTGGTTCATTGTTCCTTTAGGGCTGAGGCATGAATGGGATTTCTGACTGAACTATGGTCCACATTAGCAGCTATCCATTCCCCCAGGCTGACCTTTTAAACACTCCAAATGTTTTTTTCCTTCTTTTGACTCTATCTTCACTTATCGTTTCCTCTCCCAACCCCAGTCCCCACCCTCTCTTCTGTATAATTATCAACTTTTTCCTAGCTGCCATCGTTCTGAAGAAGGGTCACCAGACGTGAAACAGTAATTCTGATTTCTCTCCGCAGATGCTGCCAGACCTGCTGAATTTTTCCTGCAATTTCTGTTTTGGTTTGGCTCTTAATTCTGGGCTTTGATTTCTCCAGTAGTAACATTAATGGGGATCATTACATGCTATATTTATTAATGATAGTATGGAGCCGTAGCCTAGAGAAGACCAGAGTCATCACTCTCCATTAAAGAGAAACAGTCAATTACACATAGCATGAGAGTAACCACTCCTCACGTGTGGCACCAGGTGATGAGGCAGGCCTCCATGAATTACCACAGCCGCAGGATTGAACCCATGCCATTTGCTTTATATTGCACCACCCTGTAGCTATCTAGCCAATTGGATTGACACCCCCTCACCTCCCATTTATTTACAATAACAATAGTGTCTAATTGAGACCTGGCACAGAAACTGGTGAGACAAGGAAAAGTAATTTCTTTCCAATGAAAGTGAATACTGTTATCCCTACTCTGTCAATTAGCTTGGTCAGTAATTTGCCTTTATGTTGTATAAATCAGATTCAAACAATATAGCCATATACACATTTCATTTTAAATTGTAACTTATAGTGAAATGTCTATACAATGAGGTTATGTAGTAATATCTAACATTATGTAACAAACCAGTGCAAATTAGAACATCTATGTTTTATTTGATGTTGTTTTTACAGATGCAAAGAATAACTTTAAAATACAGAAATCCAATAACTTGGTTACAGCTTATGATTATACTTCAATTATGCATTATGGAAGGTAAATACTGTTTTTCCTGTATTTTCATTAGCTTGAAATAAGCAAACTGACATTGAATAATTCATTAAAATGCATCTGGGCTATTCATTGCACTGTAGTTATGTTATGTGACATTGGCGTCCTTTCAATAAATAATGCTTGAAAAGGATATTCAACTCGAATGTGAATGAAAATATGTTGGCGAGAAAGGATGATTTATGTCGGCCTCTTTTTGAAGCCCCCAGTTTCACAGATTCCCATTCTTCGTTCAGCTTGATTCACTCAATTGAGGAACAGTTTATGATTAGATATTGCAAAGGCTTTGGGCCTTGAAACATCCCAACAGTAATATTGAAGGCTATTTCTTCAGAACCAGCCATGCCCTTAGACAAGCTGTTCTAGTGCAGCTGCAATATATCTTCCTGACAATGTGGAAAATTTCCCAAAGGACAGTGATGGAGAATTGAAATGTACGTCTAAATACTTATTAAATGCCTACAGGGTTTCAGCCCCTTTCTCCCCTTACAGACAGTGAGCTCCACATCAGAACTGGGATAGTTCATCAACTTTGCTTCCAATTTTCACGTTGCCCTCACCAACCTGGTTCGGCTCTGACTCCTCCCTTCATATCTTTGACAGTTCTGTTTCCATTTTTGGTGATAGGCTGACCACCAACATTCGCTGCAAACCCACTGACTCCCACAATTACATGGACTACATATCCGCACACCCATTCTGTCGCAGAAGATGTAACACCTGCCTGTTTCTTCCTTTATCCTCACTATATGAGGTTACAGACATACCTTCGAGGTGAATTAGTGATTTACCTGCACTTCTCTCAATCTAGTCAACTGTATTCTCTGCTCACAATGTGGATCTACACTGGGGAGACGAATGCAGACTGGGTGGCTGTTTTAAGAAACACTTATGTTCCGACCACAAAAATGACTCAGACCTTACAGTTGCCTGCCATTTCAACACACTACCATGTTCCCTGGCCAACATTAGTGTCTTGGGCCTGCTGCAGTGTTCCATTGGGAAGAACAGCATCTCATTTTCTGATTGGGGAATCTGCAGCCTTCAGGACTCAATATCAGGAACTTTAGGGACTTCCATGTCCTTTACTCAACTCCACACTCCACGCCCTGTCATCACATGTGCTGATTTCATTAAAGCCAGCCCATTTTCGCCTACTATTGGTCCCTATTAGCAGCTCTTTTTTCTCCCTGGCTCACCATTATCCATTTCTTTGCCCAATTGCTGTTTTCTCTTTCTGGGCTCCACCTCCATCTATCATAGTAATTTTTCTGAAGAAGGGTCTCGATCCGAAACGTCAGCTTTCCTGCTCCTCTGATGCTGCTTGGCCTGCTGTGTTCATCCAGCTCTACACCTTGTTATCTCAGAGTCTCCAGCATCGGCAGTTCCGACTATCTCTCACCTCCATCTATCACTTGCTTTTTCCTCCCCGTCTTCAGCATATATGCCACCTTTTCCAAGCTACAGTCATATCTAAAGGGTCACTGGACCCTGAGTTCTGCTTGCTCTCCACAGATGCTGCCAGAGCTGCAGGGTTTCTTCAGCAATTTCTGTTTTTATTTCAGATTTACAGTATCCACTATTTTTGTTTTTTTGGTTACAAGCATGTTGCCTTGGCTAGACAATATTAGTTATGAATGGAGATTGGATAGATTTGAGTTGCTTTCCTTGGATCCGAGGAGATTTGGGGGGTGGGGAGGAGATGGACCATGATGATGCGGATGAATAAAATTGTGAGTGGTATGGATAGCACAGATAGAAAGGAACTTTTCCCCTTATAGGAGGGATCATTAAACAACGGGCATAGATTCCAGGTAAGAGACAGGAGGTTTAGAGGAGATGTGAGGAAAAGTTCTTTCACTCAGAGGGCGGTGGGAATCTGGAACTCACTGCCTGTAAGGGTGGTAGAAGCAGAAACCTCATACTGTTTAAGAAGTATTTAGATGCACATTTTGCAATGCCAAAGCATACCAGGCTGCGGACCAAGTGCTGCAAAACGGGATTAGACTAGATAGTTGGTTGTTTATGACCAGCGCAGATTCAGTGGGCTGAAGGGTCTTCTTCTGTGCTGTAGACCTCTATGCTAGGCAATGACCATCTCCTACACTTCTTGATGTGCAATGGCATTACTATCATTGAGTTCACCACTATCAATATCCAGGAGATACCATTGATACAGACTAATCCAGACAATCATTTGAATACTGTGGCTGCAAGAACAGGTCAGAAGCATAGAATTGTACAGCGAGTAACTTATCCCCTACCTCCCCAGTGCCTCTTCACTATCTACAAGGCACAAATTGAGTGTGTGATGAAATACTGTTTCCTTGCCTGAATGGGTGCAGAACCAACAGCAGTCAAGACGCCTGTCACCATCCAGACCAAAGCAGTTTGCTTGACTGGCTGCCCATCCATGGACCTTCAACATTCACACCCTTCATCAATAATGCACAATAGTAGTAGTGTGTAACGTATACAAGGTGTACTGCAGTAAGGGTCCTTCAACAAACACTTTCCAAATCCACAGCATCCACCACCTCAAAGGACAAGGAAGGACAGTAGATGCATAGGAACACCACCACTTGCAAGTTCTCCTCCATATCAAAGCCCATCCTGACTTGGAACTACATTGCTATTCCTTCACTGTCTTTCAATGAAAATGCTAAAAGTCCCTCCGCTGAGCTTAACAGAATCAAGCTGATGTTCTTACCACCCAAGGCAATGACCAAGCACAAGCCAATGGATCAGGAGTAAGTAGGACCTAAAAACAATTACTGATAGCAGCTGCTCCCTCAGATTATTGAGATCATCAGTAAGAAGCAAGAGCACAACTGAATTGTTCTAGAGGCCATGTTTATGTTGAGGAAGATGTGAAAGATCGTGATGGAAGCCACAATCGGTAACTGTTTCCAACATGTTGGGTTAAAACAGGCTGTGATTGTGTAAGATTGTGAGAAAGAAGAAGACCAGGGTGAGGCTAAATAATCCTGTAATGAGAATCTTCTTGCAGGAAGCCAGCATGGAAATTCCAGTAGAGACAGCCAAGGAAACGTACATTGAGGTGAACGTCACCACGGTGCAGAATGGAACTGACAAATGAGGCAACTTAAAGTTTTTAAGAAGATTTGTAGCTCGGGTTGTGGATGAGGTTGTAGACTTGCACGCCGAGCCAGTGTGTTTGGTTGCAGACATTTCATCACCCTGCTAGCTAACATAGTCAGTGCACCTCTGTTGAAGCATCGGTGTTCTGTCCAGCTTGTTATTTATATGCCTCGGATTGCTGGGGTGGTTGGCATTACTTCTGGTTCTGTTTTTCAGCGGTTTCGATATCGGGTCCAGTTCAATGTGTTTGTTGATGAAATACTTAGTTGACAATACTATCCACTCCTCCCAAGTATTTGTCAACATCATCAAGGACACCAGAATAGAAGAAGATGAGATAATGATATCCTTCGACGTAACAGCACTATTTACATCCATAATCATCAACTTAGTCAAAGAGACAATTGCCACACTGCTGGATGAATCATGAAGGCAGGCACCCCATGACACCAACAGTATCAACAAGGACAGCACTCTGAAACTGCTCGATCTTTGCCTCATAACCCACTTTACCTTCAATGACCGTATATTCAAACCAATCAATAGAACACCAATGGGATCCCCAATATCAGGACTGATTGCAGAAGCGGTAATGCCAAGGTTAGAACAAACAGCGCTCCCCACTATACAACACAAATTCTGGGTCTGCTGTGTAGATGACACCTTCATGATTATCAAACGCACAAGACTAGAAGAAACCCACCAACACATAAACAGCATCCTCACTGGAATAAAATTCACAAATAACGAAGAGAACAATAACCGACTACCCTTCCTAGACTAATGGTAGAATGTAAGAACAACAGGCAACACCAGACTAGTGTATACAGAAAGACCACACATACGGACCAGATAGTTAATTACTCCAGCAACCACCCCAACACCCATAAATGGACCTGCATCAGGACATTATTCAAATGGGCCACAACATAGTGCAGCAATCTGGAGTTGCGCAAAGCAGAACAGAAGCACTTACAGGGAGTTTTTGAAAGGAACGGATACCCAGAAAGCACAATCCACCGTTACGTCTGCAACAGACCACAACATGGCCAGACACACTAGTGACCCTACTGTACATCAGAGACATATCAGAGATGACCACAAGACTGCTCAGACCCCTAGGTATCAGGGTAGCCCACAAACCAACAACCACCCTGTGACAGCTACTGACGAACGTAAAGGACCCCATACCCACAACCAATAAAACTAACGTAATGTACAATATACCGTGTAAAGATTCTGAAAAACATTACAAAAGCCAAACTGGAAGAAAACTGACAATAAGGATACACGAACACCAACTAACCACTAAGAGACACGACCAAGTCTCACTGGTCTCAATACACACAGACAAAGAAGGACTCGAATTCAACAGGGACAACACATTCATAATAGCATGAGCCAAACAGAGACGTACCAAGGAATTCCTGGAGGCCTGGCATTCCAATTGGAACTCCATCAACAAACACATTGAACTAGATCTGATGTACAAACCACTGAAAAACAGAACTGGAAGTAATGCCAACCATCCCAGCAATCCAAGACATATAAATAACAAGCGGGAGAGAACACCAACGCTTCACTGGAGGCGCACTGACAATGTTACCTAGCAGGGTCATGAAACATCTACAACCAAACACACCAGCTCGACAAACAAGTCTGCAACCTCAAATGACACAATTGTACATGCAGTACATTCTTCAACTGAAGAGGCCAGTGACCTGAATACCCACCCTAGCTGAAGACACAAAGGCTGTAGATCTGTTCAGGGATTTTGTAACTTGGCTTGAAAACATCAAAAAAATAGTTGCCTGCTTTGACTCATCTGAAGACAGCATGCTAACCAGATAAAGATTACTGAGTTTTTTCTGGAGCTAGCTCTCTAAACTTACACCACCTTCTACTGTACAACATCAGGCCATTGTAAGATGTGAACAAATTGAAAAATGAAGACATTTTCATATTTACTTCTCAATTTTTTGAACACAGAGCACGTTTATAGACATGCCTCCTTGGCTTTTTTGAGACTCCACTTAACAAGAGTTTGCAGGTGTCCTGCCTGCAGTTTGACTTAATTGTAATTTTACTGTACATGACTCGTCCAGTTCAGTTTCTGGTCAGTGCTAATCCACAGGACATTAAATTTTGCCTTTTAGCAGCAAAACAAATGAATGCTTAGTAACAAAACAAAATGATGAATGCTTAGTACATTACAATGCAGTGCATTGCAATAATATGCAGATGAACTGACTGTGCATTATAGTGAGTGGTCGTAGTACTGTTGGCATGCAGTATGCTCAGAGAGCTTCCATCCTGCCATAATGTGTTAGTTGCATTATCGAGTGTAAGTTATTAGCATTGTTATTTTATAGAAAACATTAATATTCCAATCAAACAAAGGTATTACATTTTTTATTTCTTGATTTAGGTATGTTTTTTCTAAAAGTCCCAGTTTACCCACCACAGTGCCAAAACCAGACCCAAATGTGGAGATTGGACAACATTTGGGTTTCTCTGAATTAGATGTTTTAAAGATAAACAAGCTGTATCAGTGCAGTAAGTTTAAACACAAATGCACTTTTCTGAAATGTATTGTTTTATATCATTGCTGACTTTAATCTTGTGTCATAAACTAAAAGAGACAAAAATCATCCGATGCTACAACATAATATTGAGCCAGAGTGTGAAACAGAAATTTGCTTGCCATAATAATCTGTGCAGGAAATTCCCAATTTCAGGCAGCTACTGAGGGAAGGTACTGTTGTTTAGAGATTTGTTTAGGAACTGCCTAGAGTGATACGAGATGATAAAAAGATAGGAAAGTTTAAACAGGACAAGATAGAAAGTAAGAAAAAAGAGATCAATGGAAGCCAGAAAAAAGAAAAATTGTCTAACAAACAGCATTCAGACTAAATTATGTATATCATACACATGCATCAAAATATAGAATTGGAGAATTCGAGCTATTGATTAATTAGAAAAATGTTGGTAGTATTACAGCAACAGAAATGCAACTGTTGCTGAATCAGGAACGGTAAATAAATATTCCTGGACGTAAAGGCTCCCTCGACTGCACTTTCCAAACATGTGACCTTTAGCACCTAGAAGAGCAAGATCAGCAGACGCATAGGAACATCAGCATCTGAAAGGTCCTCTCCAAATCTGACACCATTCTAACTTGGGTTTATAACTGTTCCTTCTCTGTCATGGAGTTGAAATCATGAACACCGTCCTTAACACCATTGTGAGTGTACCTACACCACCTTCAAGAAGGCCACTCACCCCCTCCTTGAAGGTCCATAAGAATGGACAATAAATGTTAGTGATGCTCACTTCTGTGAATGAATAAAAAATATCTTCTGGAGTTACAGGCAAATAGAATAGGAAATAAGTATTGATATTAACTGGAAACGTCATAATGCCAGTAAGCAATAGAGATGCAAAAGAAAAGCAATCGTGTTATTACGCAGTCCATGGCATATTACATTGGCAGCCATACAGAATTATATAATGAGCTGAAATAGAAATGTTCCACGTGAAATAATGAATGTTTATTCAAAGCTCACCCTGTTTCTCTGACCATGAGACTTACAGCTGAAGTTTCAGGCTTGTTCCAAAACCCTTTCAGGCATTTCCATGAATTTTGCAGTACAGGTTTCTTTGAGCATTTGTTCTTCTAGTCATATCAGTTTTCTACTGGGAGATTTCTTCTAAATTTCAACCTTTATCTTGTGTGTTGGTATTTCATCATCTGACTTCTCTATAGCTGAACTAATATGTGATTGTATGACCTGTGGAATTCCAACTGGTACAGCCACTGCCCGCTAAAGCCCAATGTGTGCTACTTTGAGGATCCCTTCTATCTCATAGCCATTAAGTTACACTGGATACCAATGTCTGATCTGATGCCTATGACAGTATTGCGATTGACAAACCTTCCCTTCATTCTCTCTTCTACTTTCATTTTTGATTTCTGTTTCTCTAGGGTGGGAAGTGGTTGCTTTTCTTTTTCTACTTGTTTTTCCAGCGTGCAGAGGGCAAAATGAGATGGGTGTGGGCATGAGAAGAGAGGAGTGTAGTGGGTGGTTGAGCTTGCAGTGATAGAATTAGAGACTTTTTTTTAGCATATGTGAGAGTATAAGATGCCTCTAGTCTGCTTCTGCATTCAATAAGACTATGGTTGATGTGATTTCACCTTAACTCAATTTTCCTACCTGCCCCTTGAATTACTTATAGTTCAAAAATCTGAAGATTTCAGCCTTGAATATATTCATTGACTTACCTGCTTTTGCCTATTGAGTTGAGAATTCCAAAGATTTGCGACCTTCTGCAAAAAGAAATTCCTTGTCATTTTTGTGATAAATGGCCAACCCTTCATTCTGAAACAATATCCCCTAGATTTGTAATTCCAGATTTCTCTATGAAGGGAAACAACATCTCAGCATTTATCCTGTTAGCCCCCACACCTCTCAAAATCCTTTATGTTTCAATAAGATTGTCTGTCATTCTTCTAAATTCTGTTCAGTATAGGCCTAACCTGCTGAAAGTTTCCTCATATGACAACTCTTCATCACAGTGATCAACCGAGGGAGGCTTTTCTGAACTGGTTCCAATATAAGTGTAGCCCTCTTTACGGCATGAGGTATTCCAAAGCACGTGGCTACTATTTGTGAGAGGTGCTGCCCTTCTCTTACAAACCATAAGATTCATCATGTATTGGTCCTTATTTTCACCCTGTTCTCATCTATCTATATGTCTTCACAGATTCTTAGTCACTCTATACAGCTCTTATATTTTGTTTTTCTGTTCTTAACTCCAAAATGGATAAACTCACATTTTTGCACATTGTAATCTATTGTGAATGAACGCATGGGCAGATGTATTTGTCTGCATATACGTGCAATGATACTTGTTATGGTAGGAAACTAAAATATGTCTGAGGTGTGGTCAGTGCTTGTGATAGACGGAGTAGTGTGGACTGTATTAATGTAAGTGTGTAGTTAGAGGGTGATTGTAGTCTGTTGAGGGTGTGATATTTGGGGAGATCGTGCAATTATTGAGATGTTTGTTCTGAGATGGGATCATTCCTTAACGATTGTGTCCAGTTATTACATTTTTTGCAGCACTGGAGTCTTATCCCAGAGACTGTTCCTACGACAACTTCAGTGTCCATCACTAAGAAAGTCTTGGTAACATTACTACTGACTGAGCCTGCTGAGTCCAAAAGGACATAGCTGCCAGATTGTGTCTGCAGCAAATGGTGAGGAAACTAGCAAGAGAGAAAAATATACTTGATTTTGTCCTCACCAATCAACCTGTTGTAGATGTGTCCATCTGTCACAGTATCTGAAAGCAACTGACACCTAGAACACATGAAGATGAAGTCCCATTTTCTCATTGTGGGTACCTTGCATCATTTTGTTGGTTATGCCAAATGGGACAGACTTTGAAAAGATCTAGCACCTCAAGACTGGGCATCCATAATGTGCGATGGGTTATTGTCAGCAGCAGAATTGTATTCAATCACAATCTGCAAATAGTGGCCCAGCAGTCCCCCAGCTCCACCATTACCATAATGCTGGGAGTTCAACCCTGGTTTGAATGAAGAGTGCGGGAGGGTATGCCAAGAGCAGTACCAGGCATACCTAAAAGTGAGGTGTGAGCGTGGTGAACCTTAAACACATGACTACTTGCATGCTAGAAAGTGGAAGGAGCATGCAATGGACAGGGCTAAGTGATTCCACAATCAACGAGTCAGACCTAAGCTTTGCAGCCCTGCCACATGCAATCTTGAATGGTGGCGGACAATCTTAACAACTAACTGGGGATGAAGGCTTCACAAATATTCCCATTCTTGATTGGAGAGCCGAGCATATCAGTGCAAAAGGACAAGGCTGAAATATTTCAGCCAGAAATAATGGGTAGCTGATCCATTTCAGCCTCTTCTTGAGGCCCCTGACAGGAAAGGTTTGGAGGGATATGGGCCAGGAGCAGGCATGTGGGACTGGTTTCGTTTGGGATTATGTTCGGCATGGCCTGGTTGCACCAAAGGGTCTGCTTCTGTGCTGTCTGGCTTTGACTTCAGCTGATTCGATTCTGTCCACATAGAATCAAGAAACAGCTTGTAGTAATCCATGAAGGCATGGATTACTACAAAGTCTGTGGGATCTGAAAATGTTCCGACAATGTATTGAAGATTTGTGCTCCACAACTAGCCACGCCCCTAGCCACGCTGTTCCAATACAGCTACAAGACTGACATGTGCCTGACATTGTGGAAAATTGCCTAGTTATCCTGTCCACAGAGGATAATTGACAATAATGTAGTAATGTCCTTGAACTAAGATGGTTGACCTCCAACAACTATAAACATCTTTCATGTACGACTTCAAACAGTGTAGATTTTTCTGCCTATTCCCATTCACTTCAGACTTGCTCCATACTTGTTCAGTTGCTGCCTTGATGTCAAGGACATTGACTCTCTCCTCACCTCAGGAATTCAGCTCTTTTGGCCGTGTTGAACCAAGGCTGGAATGAGGTCAGGAACTGGATATCCCCAGCTGAACTCAAACTGAGCATCTGTTCTGATAACTCAAGTTCCTCATTCCGGTGTTCTGAGAAAGGGTCACCAGACCCAAAACTTTAACTCTGATTTTTTCTTCACAGATGCTGATGCCAGACCAGCTGGGCTTTTCCAGCAACTTCTGTTTTTAACGTTTTGGAGTAGATCTGTAGCTCGGGTTGTGGGTGTTGAGGTTGGTTGGCTCGCCGAGCTGGTTTGTTGTTCCGCAGATGTTTCGTTACTGTGCTTGGTAACATCCTCAGTGTAGCCTCTGATGAAGCGTCGGTGTGTTTTCCCGCCTGGTTTTTTTTTTTGAAACTCTGGGGTCCGTTGCGATGGATTGCCTCACTTTTGGGTTTCCTCCGTAGTGGAATGTATACGGGGTCGAGTTCACTGTGTTTATTAATAGCATGCTTCGTGGAGTGCCATGCTTTCAGGAATTCTCGTGCTTGTCTCTGCCTAGCCTGTCCCAGGATCTTGGTGTTGTCCCAGTCGAAGTCGTGGTTCTCCTTGTCCATGTGGATTGAGATGAGTGAGTATTGGTCAT